GGAAGGAAGGAAGGAAGGAAGGAAGGAAGGAAGGAAGGAAGGAAGGAAGGAAGGAAGGAAGGAAGGAAGGAAGGAAGGAAGGAAGGGTCTTGAATAAGAGATCTGTATCAGAAAACAAATAAATATATTCCTATATCAGGGCTGTGCAAATCCTTGCAAAGAGGTGCTTTGCAACACATGGGAGTGAGTATGAAGAGTTTGCACCTCTTCAAACTATTAAAGTAGCCCTTGTAAACTGAGCATGCGTTCTTTCCATATATGTGTTTCCTCACAAAGTAGTGTAGCCCTGCATGCACACAGATGAAGCAGAGCAGCTTATGAAGCAGCAGTGAAGGATGGAGAAAGAGGGGGCTGCTTCAATGATCCAAACATTTTTATTGAAGACTCAGATGAGATGAGTGGCACTTCCCTGCTCCAACTCAGAGATCACACGATGTCTTCAGGATCGATAGTCCTGTCTTCCGTGGATAGATCTAACCCTCTCTGAAGGCCAGCCAAGTTGGTGGCCACCACTGTGACTTTAGGGAATGAATCCCACAGATGAATGACATGCTGTGTGGAGAAGTCCTTCCTTCGGTCAGTTCTAGACTTCCTCCCAGACAGCTGCACTGGGTGGCCCCGGTCTGGCCTTTGGAGAGGAGGAGAAAAACTTCTCCCTGTCCACTTTCTCCATGTCGGGGATGAGTTTATACATCTCGATCCTGTCCCCCCTCAATCTCCTTTCTTCCAAGCTAAAGAGCCTCCAACCCTTAGTCTTTTGGGTTGCCCTTTTCTGATTTCTTCCAGCACTCTTACATCCCCTTCTAGGCATGGCAACCAGAACGATGTGCAGTGTTCCAGACGCACCAGAGAATTGTATACCACAATATTGGCCATTTTATTTTCATTCCCTTTCCTAATACTTCCTACAAGCAATCTGAATCCATATCACTGAGGTACAAGCTAGTTGTGATCTTTTTTCAAAATGTAGAATAGTAGTGAGGCAGGGGTGATGAGGATGCGGGCTGGGACACACGGGGAGCAGGACCGACTTTGTTTACGCTGCCACACCCCCATGGTATGTGGCCCCATAACCTTAAGCCAGGAGGGATAAAAAAAGCCAATGGAAAATATGGGTGGGGGCACCCAGACATAATCAGTGCTGCTGCCTAGAGATGGAAGCCCCTTTCATTCTTGGCCCACCTGAAGTGCCCCTGTTTCTTCTTTGAAAACCGACTTCATTGCCACATGGCCGCATTCAACACTCTGCTTTCGCCTGAATGTATCTCCTCAAACAGGAGTTACTGCGCAGCTGTTCACAGTTTACAGCTAAACCCGTCCTCAAGAGCTCTGCACTGAGAAGCATGGATGGGAGTGAGAGGCTGGCACCCTGGCACTGCCACTTAGTAAAAGCCGGGACAACATAAGGCACATCACGACACACAAAAGTTGCGTGTTACATCATCTACACCATCTGCACCATGACATTGTGAAACGTGTGATGTCACTTGCCCTCCTTTTCCCCCCGGAGATGTCCCCTCCCCACCCCATTAACAAGGAAGGCCTAAGTAGAAACAGATGCCCATGCTTGGCTAAAGGCCGTCCCTCCGCAAGATGGGGATCTCTGCCAGCGCCGTGGTCCTCGGCAGCAGTGCCCGAGTCTTAGGGGAGAGGCCGGCTGAAATGCTGGTGGAATACATCGGCCCCTCTTTCCAGGGCCTCCTTGGGTTTCACCCTGTATGGCACCTTTTATTTCCCAAGTCTCAATAAAGCCAAATAAAGAGACTTGAGAC